ACAAACAAACCAAGGTAAGGAGACTAAGACTGGACAAAAGACTCCAAATATATTACTTTTTTTATTTTCAGTGCTGACTGAAGGATAACAACCATTATTTAATGAAGACCACAAACAATTTCAGAAAAAAATTTCAGTTCCTTTTCTAAATCTTGGCATCTGGTTTCAAGTTTGTTAATTTCTGCCTGGAGAGCTCTCTCTGTAGTTTTATTTTGTTCCAGATTTTCTTGTTGCCTAGCAACCTGTTGCTGAAGAACCTTCTCAGCATCCTTAAATTGTTTTAACTCTTTTTCTTGACTAGTATCCTGAAGCTGAAGTACTTTCTCAGCATTTTGGATTAACTGCAGTTGTTCCTGCTGCCTAGTAATATGTTGCTGAAGTTCCTCTTCCTTGTCTTTGTCCTGTTTTAGCTGCTCCTGTTGCTTGGTTACCAGCTGCTTAGTATCACCCAGTTCTTGCACCCGACGTTTCGGCTTACGCCTTTATCAAGGGTCTATGAACGTCACAGGTTACCAAACTGATTTTAAATTACAGTAACCGAGAACAAAATACAGCTACAACAATATAACGGAAAAGTGTACGTGATACGTGATACAAGTATAGTCGAACAGTTTGAGTCGTTGATCATAAAAATAGAGAAAATGATAATAATAACATAAAAATAGATATAATCATAATGATAAAATTAATAATAATAATAAAAAAATAATAGGTACAATTCCTGGCCTCTTTAACATTTTATTATTATTATTTATTATTAAGTATAATGCCTGGCCTCTTTGACGATTCGGTTCAGCTCTGTAGCTGACCATACAATTTGTTGACAGTTTTGCCATAATCACTAGAATTAAAGTACTGCCACTGGGCGCCTATTCTTTTCAAAAGTAAGGCAGAAATGTATGTGTCTACCAATGAGAGCGAACGGGTTTGTGGAGACAGAAATGAACGATATGCTTAGAGTACATTGTTGATTAAGATAGTTTCAGTAATGGTACAGTTATTGTATTGAGAGGCATCAATGTGTATGAAGGTACAAATCGTACTGTGTTTCCAAGGGTAGTATGTGCTATAGGATGAAATACTTTACTAGTGAAATAACATCATACTTTGAATCAATGCAATATAGTGCACAATATCATATTGTCAAGATTGCGACGGAGTATCTTAAATAGCAGCAATACAGGGCACAAACAGGGCCTCTACAAGGTCTTTGGTCTTAACTTATTACGCAACATCATAGTGGTTGACATTGGGCTGACTGAGGGATGCACTGGATACTCGATAACATCGTCCATCAACTGACTGAAAATTTGTCTTGCAGATTCATAAAATGTGTCAATAACTCTAAGAATCATATTCCTTCCGAGTATTTTGTTACTTGAATTATTATAATTTTTCATAGACATACACAAATACACACCGTTGTACTCATTTATACAAAATGGTGTGAAGCGTTTAAGCTTCTCGGATAATTTTAGTATTCAGTTTTCTTCACCCTTAAGTGGTATGAGCATAAAATTATTTTGTAGTGTTTAGATGAATAGGGTGTATATTTAATTATGATATCAGTACTTAAGTAAGTTTCGAGTTGCATTTGTTCGTTTGTAGCTAAGCACAAAGTCGTACAACGGGTATCGAACCTCGGTTTCAAGCGTTATAAATCCATCGACTTACCACTGTATCACTGGGTATCACAGAACCGTTTGAGTTCTCTAGAAAACACGTGACTCGGGTGTTTTTCTGAGTCATGTTTTTAATTCATTCTGCAGTTGAACTTCCAGTGCATTTTTGAAATGTATGGAGTAACATATTGAAACTGCGTTTCTAATTATGTTTATATAATATTTTAGCAACTCCGTTTATTTTTGAATTATAAGGGTCATGTATGTAAACATGAAACCTCTTCTTATGCACGTTTTTTAATAATAAGACATTACATATTTTATTCTCAGCAAACAAAAACAATCAGTAGTCCAGATGACTTGAATAGATTTTTATAATGTTAGGGTCCACCAATTGGTCAGTGGTAAGTTTAAGGACTTATAGTGCTAATATCTGGGGTTTGAGTCCTTGTGGTGGACGAATTGGAGATAGCCCATTTTGTAGCTTTGCAAAAAAACAACAATATTAGATGGAAGGATGATGCTCTATTCTGTTTGAATTGACCCCATTGATGGCTGTTGATGCTCATATAAATAAACAACTATTTTGGCGAATACTTTGTAAATCTCCTCTTTTTTATAGTCTAATTTACTTATTTGTAAGCTGCATAAACAAACTACATGAATGCTTGGAAATTCCCATCATACGTTTTGGACACATGCCAGAGCACGTGGTTGAACTTTATCTAACATAATAAATAACAGGATGATAGTTTTATTGTAAAATTTGCCCAATTTAGATAAACAAGAAAAATGTTTTTTACAACGAACGTTCTAAAAATAAGTCATAACAAGAATTTAATGAATCTATTATATGTTACATATAATGTTGATAGTAAGTATATGATTTGAAAAAGACAAAGCTCAGTTTAATATATTTAGTTAAAAAATCTTCAATACCCAATAAAAATCAAACCTATACTTCTGATATTTGTTAAACAGCCTGAGTGGACTGAGAGCATCACCAAACAGTCCTCAAATATGAGTAATAGAGTTCTCTAACGATTTCTTATATGAAATAACACCGTATGCACAATGGCTCTTTTTGATATAACTTAGGTATGGATAGTTTTATAATAGGCAGTTGATAAAATAAAACACTGTCATGATGTGCATCTATTTAAGGCTATTATAATGTTGATACTTTTAAGATTAAATGTACAGCGTCCAACTACTGTATGTGTGGTATAAAAGAGTTAGTTTATATATGTTCTAACACAATTTTTATTTCTCTTCTCCCTAGGATATATAATATGCTGATGTTGTTTGTGTTTGAAATTAAATCAAAACCCAGAAATCAAAATAAACTAGAATTATCGGCAAGGGTAGAGATGGAAAGATGCCTTTTAACTTTTATTTATTGCACACCTACACAGCGCCCTTATGTAATACCTTAAAATTATTGTGGCTTCTAAAGCAAAAAAGGCTTTTCATAAGAACTTGAAAAATGAGGCAAATATATTACTAGCCATATGCCTCGACCATAACCGTCGCAATGAGAACCCAATTTTTCCACATGTCTCTTTGACGAATCTGGCAAGAAACCATAACATCAGAAGACGTACTGCTGTCCATAAAGAAAACTATAGAAAGCTTCAAAGAAGAAATTATATAATATATACTAAAGTGTGGAGCAGTTCATTAACTCTAACAAGAATCTAAAGTTCGAAAAGTGTTGAATTATGAATGGAGGGTAAGCTCAATTTTCAAATACTTTTTAAATATGTAGATGAGTCAATGGTGAAACAAATTAGCTATTTAGATTTTAAAAATTAGGTTTAAGGTTTTCATTTACATGCAGAATATATTTTGAAAGATCATACACATGAAACCAAATCAAAAACTTCAGTCTAATTGGTCATGTGGCTTATATAGTATATACAGTGCAGTTGTTTATGATATTTAGCGTTCTGGTCAAGCATTAACATTTTTTGGCTTGAAATAGTCGCATCTAATAATTTCTGTTGGCACTTTGTAATTGGAAGACCGAAGCTGTATTGCTACTGTCAGGTTTTGTAGGTCGGAGTCTTTACAGTAGATGTCTGTGAGTCGTTGGCGATAAATTTCAAAATACACAAACAGCAGTACAGTCCACTTGTTTTAAAATAATATAAGAAAACAGGTCAACCGGATATACAAAAGTTCGTTACACTGATGGTTATCACAGTTGTATCCAGAGCTTTAAGTAATTGTATACTTTTTGTCAAATTCCACACAGGCTGGTTCACTTACTTTAGAACACAATGGATAAGACGAATTATTCTTCTCTGCTCTGTTATTACAATACAGTCGATGATAATTTCACTTGAAAAGAAAGCGTCACTATATGCTCTTTATGGCTAAACTTACAAATACACAGTCTAGATCTATTTGACTATATCTCTCACTTTGTCTAACTTTGTTTTACTTGAAATATATTTTGTACACATATTTTTAGACTGACAGAGGCCTAGAACGTTCAACACACTACATGATAATATGATTCATTAATACTCAATTGAAACAACGAGAAAAACTTAGAAGTTTCTAGCAACATGACACAATAATACAAAAAGCACCAATTCACAACAAATGAACTACACAATGTATGATTCATACACAGTTACATAAAGAAACCTATGATAATCTATCACTTCTAAAAATAACTAGATTTAACAGTTGCACTATACTTAAATGGAAACAAATCGTGTATATCTAACAATAAGCCCCTGTTCAAGAAAAATATTTACAATATTTTTATACTATATTCAAATAATTTCATATTTTATTAATATTTAGTATTCTAGGATGAAATGAATGGATGTTAGACACTTGAAGGCTGGTTCCTTTGTGAATTTAACATGATAATGTAAACAATTTATCATTATCATCATATGTATTATGAACCACTGTTCCCAAAACAAAAGAGAGAGATAATGTCTTGTTCTAGCCGTGTTGTTGATTAATAGTAAAACTGTAGTATAATATGGACACCATATTACGTACTACTAGGGTTTAGAAGTGTTTGTAATGTAGCTTCAACAACATTCTTATTGGAGCGTAACGCCGGTTTCACGTGCAATTCACATGGCAACAGTGAAATTATAAAAATGAAAAAAAAATGTCTGGCACTCATGCAATTTTTTGCAACAAGGTTTATTATCGGGAAATTATTTTACAGCGTAAATATTATGTTTTATTTTGTTCACAAACATGTATGTATTTATTTTTCGTGTCCTTCAATAATGTTATTGCTTGACAATGATCTTCTCAAAAGTACTTGTGCAACTTCCTGCCAGAACTCTACTGTAGTATTATCACCAGAACATAACGTGCAGCACACAAAAAGCAGTCTGATAGAACAGCTTGAGTAAGCTTTTTTGCAATCATATAACAAAAATGTCAGAAGTTACTCAATCTTCTATTGTATTATATTTGTATATATAAGTTATTACATATAGCATCAGGATCACTAAATATATTGCGAGTCTCTTCCTAGCTCAAATTTGCTTCTAACCGTTACGTCTTATTGAGTAGAACAACAGAACATATATTGTTTTTCGCCTTTGAACCACGCCGTATCTAAATGAGGAAAGGCAAGTCAGACAGGTACGTTTGAAATATAGCCAGAAATCTTGTTTTCAGATCTTTTCATTTTTAAATGAAAGTATTTTAAGATTAGAGCAATAATTTCCGAAGGTTATTTAGATTTTCCATTGTGTTTATGTCTCAGGGAAATTTATTAGTTTGCAAACACGTTTTAATGTAATAAGAATTGATGTAACAAGCATTAAAACCTATCAATGTCTTTTATAAAAAACATTCGATTCAAATAAAGCACGAATAAAAGCAGGAACTTTTATATCCAAAATGGATAAGTAGTCAGACGACACTGCAAGAAACGCAAGCCACACGAAATTGAGATGTATCTTACTAGATGTACTTTCGCAGGGTCGGAACCGGGGGTGCTGTACCACCCCCAATTTTGCATATTTAAATTGTATAGCAACTGTGACAAATTAAAATAAAATAATTTGAATACATCAGTTGTCATATTTTATATTCACGTCTACATGAGAGTCAGAAAGCTCTGGTAGTTATTCTACTACCTGTAACAAAGACAAAAAACATACAACCGAAAACTCAACTCATGCGCTATTTATGTCTCACCTCATTACTCCCAAGCACTCCTGTTAGAAGTTGAAATTAATCAAAATGGCCCGGCATGGCCAGGTGGTTAAGGCCTTTCAGGCGTGGGGGCGTTATAATGTGACGGTCAATCCCACTATTCGTTGGTAAAAGAGTAGCCCAAGAGTTGGCGGTGGGTGGTGATGACTAGCTGCCTTTCCTCTAGTCTTACACTGCTAAATTAGGGACGGCTAGCGCAGATAGCCCTCGTGTAGCTTTGCGCGAAATTCAAAAACAAACAAACAATTAATCAAAATTAAACTCTCAGATTATAGAGGCGTTTAATTTCTACAAGAACCGGACATGGACTAGTGGTTAGCGTGGCGGACTGTGGATCTGAGGATTTATGGTTCGCAGTCCCATTATTGCAAGACAAATGCACAGTGGTCGCGTCATGTGAATTTCAAATTCCACTATTCCATAAGAGTGCATCAAGAATTAGCGATGGGTGCTGTTGACTGGCTACCTTTTGTAGATAACCCTTGTGTAGCTTTACACACACAAAAGAGATTTCCTATAGAAAAATATGCTACTGATTTAAAAAAAGGAAGCAGAAAGTAATAAAAAATTAATTATATTTTTTATTCTATTAATGAAGATATTTCATTTAGCACGAGAAAATGTAACGTTAACGTTTCTTTTACGTTCTAGAATGTATTTTGGTGAAACATAAGAAATTAAGTCGGAATGTTTGTGGTCCCTAAGCATGTATACGACAATATCAAACTGTTTTGAATATTTCATAGTTAGATACACAAAGGCCTTGGAAGGCTTTGTTTACACTTCCTTTGATTATCGCATTATTGCCATTATTATCACCACATGTTCTTGGGTTTATTAGTATATAAAGAAAACTTTAAAAAAAGTAAATGTAGGGATGGCTAATATCAATCCTTCAAAAACAATGCAAACAAGATAGTAGGGATGATATTTGCATCAGACACACTGTGTTACTAGTAGAATGTTAACAGACAAAAATAGGATAAATTAAACTCAATTGTGATTGAATGATTATATATTGCTATGTGGTAATTTTTGTCTGTGCTGTTATGTAGGGATGATGCAAATTCCATCCACACTATCTTGTTTGAGTTGTTTTTGAAGGGTAGATTTAAGCTATCCCTACATCTACTTCATTTTTTGAAAAGTTTTTTCTTTAATTGTTTACTTGTTCTTTTTATAATGCAGTGTTTCAATAGACATAGGAAGGTTGTATTTATAACCAAGTTCTAATTACAATGAGATTCCAATGGTAGTAATTCTTGTATCACCCTGTACTTATGGCTTTTAAAGGAATACTAAATTTCTGTAAGAAAGCTGATTTCAAAGGGTAATGATAACATCGTTTAAACTAGAATTATGATTTTTTTTTAAATTACTACTAGTTGATAATACTTATAAAAGTAAGATTTGTTGACATCATTGTTTTGGTTTTTGAGTTATTTTTGAGTGATAAATAAGAAGCAGCAGAAAGAAGAAAAAGTCATTATATAGATATTGTTTATAAAACGAAACACTGTATATTATTGTAAAGTTCTGATAACCTATTGAGTATATATTTAAAATACCATTTCGCTGAACAATCCGAGTCATCCCTAATAGTGCTACCGCCTGCCTGATAAACGGAATATATTAATTTATCTTGATTCATATTATTATGTATGAACGACTAAACTCTTTGGTTAAAAGTAAAATCGAACAAAGCTTCAGTTGAATTGTTTAATTCTAAATGAAAATATAGCACTATTTCTAAGCTAGCTGGACGAGACGGTATTTAAATAGTTATTTCAACGTAAATTAAATCTTACGCAGCAGCCATGGACTAAATGGCCATGTCAGACGCCAAGTCTCAGGACATAGCCATCCCTGGTTTAGAACTGTTGAACAGTCAGCAACGACCGCTGTCTACGCTAAGTGTGTTCAGCGTGACATCACGACTCATACCTTATGTTATCTAATAGACAACGTCTGGTCCGAGTTTCGGTTAAAGTTGGGTTTGCTGAAACATATAAGTACAGTCAATAACATACAGAACAATACTGACCAAACGGACACAGTAGAAATATCAGTTCCAACATGAGAATTACCAAGAAATCATAATTTATGTTATTGTAATAATAATATTTTTGTTATATCTTTCAATAGATTATGCATATATATGTATAACGTTTTGTTCCTTGTGAATGTAAACGATGCTTATTTTATCAGATTGACCGTAGGAACTGACCAGATAATCTCATCAAGAAGGGTGTTTTGTTGTCTTGCAATGTCTATCATATTTACAACACAGCCTGCTGGTGAGTCTTGTTTCCCTTCTGTGTATATGTTTAGATTGTAAGTTTTGTGTAAGCTGGACGTGGAACTTTTATTTGTATATTTCATACATTGAAATAACTTTAATGTATTATTTTCAATTTCCTTTCAACACAAAAGATTTAAGATGAAGGGTATATAACTTCTTTCAATTAAGCGTTTTTGTGTACATTTGTGAATTATCAATAAAGAAATTATATTAATACAGGTTAAATTCAATGAGTTTCACTACTCGCTTTGGTTATGCTTAGATTTTATGCAAGTATGTTAGGGTTATATTAGACCCGCATTATTACTTTGTTAAAGATGTCTTACAAGGACGATTTTGATTGGTTATTGGTTGTATCTAACCACTAAAATTAAAATGGTGCTTTCGATTGAAGGAAACCATATTTAAAAATTGGTCCCTCTAGCAGTCACGTCCACATTGAAAAACGGTGGCCTCTATTGCGCGTAGCCATACTGAAAAATGGCGGCGCAACCATATTGGAAAATGATTCACTCCACTAGGCACAAGGGTACAGTATATGATGATGAAACAAATTCTTATATAGATATCGTGGATATTTGATAATCATGATGTAACTAATTCATTAGGCAAAATCATCTGGTCGTAGAATCTTCTGATTGTTGGAGTTTAGAATAATTCTTACCTAAATCCATTGATTATCTTTTTAATTATATATTTCTCAGGATCTTCATCAACAACATATAATAAATCTATTTTAATTACTAATTTACCTATATCTTCAGAAAAATTACTTAAATGTTATTTATCATTTCATCAATTAATAAGAGATGCCTCACTTAGCTTGTATTTTGTGTGACAATTCTTGCATAATCATGAAATAATTTCTGATCAAATATATACAGGATCCATACCCAGTGTATTTTTTGGAAGCATCTGTCAACATGGTTTACGTTGATCAATTAGAGAAAGCCAACCAGACTAGTTTGAACAACTCCTTGTAAAACTTGTTAGCAGCTTCTTCACGTGGTAAGATGGTAGCAGGTTCTTCAGGTGATAAGATGGTAGCAGCTACCTCAGATGATAAAGTGATAGCGGATACCTCAAGTGATAAAATGATAACGGCTTATTCAAGTGATAAGGTTATAAAGACTTCTTCAGATATTATGATGGTAGTGGCTACCTTAAGTGATAATATGGTAGCAACTTCCTCAGGTAATAATATGATATTGGCATCCTTACGTGATAATATGGTAGCATCTTCTTCAGGTGATAAGATGATTATAGGAAGGTCGTCTTTAACTATAAGATGAGTTTAGTTTAAAATCGCACTGCAGTGTCACACAGTAGAGGCACTTTGGATAGGCAGTGATCACTAAAGAACAAAGAACAGTGGGGTTTATAAATATCTCATCCTGGGCTTGAAGTTTACTTGACTTTTAGACTCCCCACCAGTAATCTAAAGATTTTATATTTTATAATTACTTTTTAACTTTTAAGTTAAGTTATCTTGTTTTCAGTAAATTTCAAAAGGTATATGGACACTAGTCAAGTGAATTTTTAATATTTTTTTTTGCAAATTTGGTTTGACTTAGTATATCATTTACTAATGGTATAAATGCACTTAGTGTAGTATTTCAATGAGTCACTAATGAGTATCTATAATCTAGTTTGAGTTCATGAGGAAATGTCGTCAATAGAGTTTCTGATCCACAGTTGATTCTGTATGTTTTTTCTTGTCCATCTCTTCATATTCACATATTAGTTTTGTTTGGTATGCATGATGTATTTATAAATAGTGTTACGACAACGCAGGTCACGTGACGCTCGTATCACGCCACTTCCTTCTCGAACCTTCATG